TCCCAAAGAAGGGGGGGAAGAGATTGATTCCAGTGGGTAACAGCCCTTTGTGCAAAATGTGTTTGCTGCCATATTAGTATTGCCTTACTTTTGAATAACATTTACGTTTGGGCGAGTTGTTACATAATTTTTTGCAGAACATTTTCCAGAGCTCTGATAACTTTCAGTGCAATCTGCACCCAATCTGGCTGATTTTTATTGCCACACTTGTGTATTCTAGATGTTTCTCTACCTCTTTGTTACGGCCTCTAATTGCATGGCAGAGCAATGCTCTTAAGTGGCTAGCATTTTTTCTCCAATTATGAATAAAAAAAATCTGATTTTGTTTTGCTGATTGTACTATCAGTATGAATTATTGTTCCATACACAATTGTACAATATACCAACTTAGGTCAGGTTATGATGAATATTTTTACCATCTGGAGCATGTGTTTCAGGACAGAGTATTACAGATCTGCCAGAGATCTGTAGAAATAACTAAGAGGTTGTACTTTGCCTTTTCATGATTTTGGACTTTGCTAAAATAAAATTTGACAATTGAGATGAAATTGATAAATTGTTCACATAGTTTCTGAATTTTGGCATTATTCATTCTGAGGAATTTGGAGACCATTTTTATTGACCCGATCTTGGCAGCAAGTTCACTACTTCCAATGATGATTTCATTCTTTCCTTTTAACTAGACATAATGGGGACATGATCTGCTTCTTGTTTATCATTATTATTTATGATGATGATGATGATTATTAGTTATTACTATTATTATAATTATATATTTGTTAATATTATTAAGTATTGTTATTATTGGTATAATTTTGTATACCATTAATTGTTTTAATTTTTTATAGATTTGATAATTATTCTGCTAATGTAATGGTAGATGGAAAGCCCATCAACCTCGGATTATGGGATACTGCTGGTCAGGAAGATTATGACAGACTCCGGCTCTCTCCTATCTCAGACAGTAAGAATACACATTCATTCATATAAATGTATTATAATATAAATATGAATTAAGTAAATGTTTTTTCTCCTACAAAAGTTGCAAAACTTTAACACTGGTTTTTGTATTGTCTTTTTTCAGGATGTCTTCTTATTTTGTTTTCTCTTAGTAAATCCTGCATCTTTCGAGAACGTGAAGCGAAGGTGGAATTGAATGTTTTACATCTGTTTATAGTATGAAATAGTAATAATTTTTTTGTATGGCTGAAAAGAGATGCACACCTTCTCAATGTATTTGAATCAAACATATACTTCAATGAATAAAATAAAATAAAAACTTCTGTAGAAAAATAGAAAGAAACTGGTGCTGCTGCTATGGCTACATGACTACATGAAGTCCCTTGTCATTTTCAAAATTTTCTCAAAACTGTTCTAATTTTTTTCTTTAAACTTCTTCTAAGATAGAGAAAAATACATTTATAAAGGTGATATAGGTCCGATTTTCAGTCTACATTTTTGAAAATTGCAAAAGTTTGAACTTTTTTGTGGTGTCTTCTACAACTACTTTCAACTACAAAATTGAAAATAAATTTTTTTCTTCAAATAAAATAATTATCCATAGTGAGTTCTTTCATTAATGTCAGGTACATTGTTTTGAAAATTCTAGTGGTTTTCATGCAATATTGAGAGCATAATGTGGAATTTTAAAGCAGTCCAAAAACTAGATATTCTCCAAATGGCTCCAAATTTTGTCTTTAAAACTTTTGGTAGGGATAGTGATAAATGTACTCTAGAAGATGACATACATGCCATATTTGCTTTATTTTGTTTTTTCACAAATTGCAAAAAAACAATTAATTTTTTTTTACTTCTCTCCCTTTGTTAATATTTATATTAACCACAATTAGTTCATATTATTGTATTTATGAGTATATGTTCTTAAATAATGGCATATAAAGTTTTTCAAAAACTCAGCCATTTTCTTTGACAATTAGCTCCAAATTTTGCATTATCACAAACGCTCAAACGCCATTTTCTAAAAAACAGCTCCAAATTTTTTCTTCCAAACTTTTTTGAACATATAGTGTTAATTGCACCTTTAGTATGACGTGAAGTTAATTTCAGGGTATTTTTTGTTTCTTTCAAAATTACTCAATAGTCATTTGTTTGAAAAATCTATTACGCTGTTAATATGCACATGTCCAGCAATTTGTAAACACCATTTTATTTGTGAGTAGTACTTAAAAATAACTTCAAATGGAAGTTTGTCAAAAACTCAATGTTCTCTGAAAAAGAGCTTCAAATTTCAAATTTACAGTAGCACTTAAGTGACATTTTCTTAAAGAAGGTAGCATTTTGAGATGAGGTTTTATTTTTCTTTAATGTTCATAAAAATAATATTTCCGTTCTATTATTAGGAAACCAAAAAATTGAAGAAAATGTCAAAAAAATGTACTCGAGGCTGCGATAGATGGCAGCTGGTAAGAGTATATGGCAAGTTTATAGCTAGCCGAGACCAAAGAGAATTGAAAACTAATACGGGAAAGTCTGTGTCATATGTAGCATAACTAGTTTAAAATGCATTATTGCATGAAAAGTGTACATTTACGCCAAGCTTATTTGTGAATATCTTTAGAAAGCTAAACAATTTTCTGGTTTAAAACCAAGTATCTACACACTTTAGCCTAAGAAAATATTAATACTTTCTTTTCACAAAATATTTATCTTTTCACTTACTGTGTGTTGGCCATATTGTCATAGTGGCATTGTAGATCTAGCATTGGTTCAAGTGATCACTTATTAATTACAATACAAATTGATGTGGAAGCAAATAAAAATCAAATCTCTCTCCGCCGATTATCCAGATTACAGTACTATTGAGTTGATCATTAATTAGAATTAATCGATTAATTAATGATTTTGTTGATATCATCAATTAAAAAATCATATTCACAAACCTATAAAGAGCTGTGCAAAACTGATAATTAGGGTCAAGAATTAGGAACAGACGTACAAGTTTAAGAGAAATATATCTTATTTAATAATGCTGAAATTAATCATAGGATGCTATGAATTTATTACGAACAAATAAGCAATCGCAGAGGAAGAAGCAGAAAGGAAGAGCAGGCACTTCAAACAGTGAAAACATAATAACCCTGATAGAATTATGAACAGTAATTTTAACAATTATGCAAGTATTAGAAAACTAAATAAAGTGATCAGACAAAGAAAAGCAGAAACAAGTTCATTATATTAATGAGCAAACTGCTTTGAATTCTGTACCAAAGTTTGGTAGAATGTAATGAAATGTAAGAAACAACATGCAGAAAAGTTTCCAATACTTTGCCGAGAAGTTTAATGAGGAACTAGAGATATACTGACAAAAGAATGAGACAATTATTGATTTTGCACAGATTTTTTAATGAATTATATGTTGAATCAGCTCCTAGAACAGATGGAGCTCTGTCTTCCTTAAATATTATATTGTGACTTATCACGTACCATCCCAATATGATAAGAAATCAAGAACAGAAGTATAATTCCAAGTCTCTCAGGGACTACTATTGTAAATGTATGTTAAGCAACATTATAATGACTATAAAAAAAAGTCCAAAAAATTACAGATTAATTGATTTGATCAAGTATAATGAAGGTATGGTGGAAGAAAGAATTATAGTGGAGATATTATTACGTACATGTTAACAAATAACATTTTTATATAACACTCATTTATTTTTTGAAATATTTGATATAAATCCAGCAATTGATTTCTTGGTACTATCCTGGTATATAACATACCCATCTTTCCTCTCCTTTTTGTGAGATACTAAAGAAATTGACCATCAATCAGCACACCATACGTTTCATGCAACTGCTCTTTCATTAATTTTGTTTAATGCATTGCAGATACATTATCTTATAATCTGCATATATGGAAAATCAAAAATTATTAAAAGCTTGTTTATGTTTCAGTGGGTACCAGAAGTCCGACATCATTGCCCCAGCACACCTATCATCCTCGTTGGAACTAAACTTGATTTGCGAGAAGATAAGGAAACAATTGAGAAACTGAAGGATAAGAAGTTAGCACCAATCACATACCCACAGGTGATTCTGCTCTCCTTTAACACATTTAATTAATATCACAACGATAGCAAAAATAGATATGTTATGATTATTTTATGGACGAAAGGGAAACAAAACTTAAGAATGCATTAGAAAAACATGGAACAGCATTTCCTCTTTAGGTTGAAGTTCTTAAGAAAGGGAGAGGAAAATTAATTTTGAGGAGAGGGGACGTGTCAATGTGTGTTGTGTGTGTGTGTGCGCGTGTGTGTTTTGTGTGTGTGTGTGTGTGCGTGTGTGTGTTGTGTTGTGTGTGCGTGTGTGTGCGCGTGTGTGTTTGTGTTGTGTGTGCGCGTGTGTGTTGTGTTGTGTGTGCGCGTGTGTGTTGTGTTTTGTGTGCGCGTGTGTGTTGTGTTGTGTGTGCGCGTGTGTGTTGTGTTGTGTGTGTGCGTGTGTGTTTGTGTTGTGTGTGTGTGTGTGTGTGTTGTGATGTGTGTGCGTGTGTGTTGTTGTGTTGTGTGTGCGCGTGTGTGTTGTGTTGTGTGTTGTGTTGTGTGTGCGCGTGTGTGTGTGTTGTGTGTGCCGCGTGTGTGTTGTGTTGTGTGTGCGCGTGTGTGTTGTGTTGTGTGTGCGCCTGTGTGTTGTGTTGTGTGTGCGCGTGTGTGTTGTGTTGTGTGTGCGCGTGTGTGTTTGTGTTGTGTGTGCGCATGTGTGTTGTGTTGTGTGTGTGGCGTGTGTGTTGTGTTGTTGTGCAGGAGTGTGAGGCACATGCATGGGGGGGAGGGCAGGTGTGTGGTGAAAGTGGGGGGTGTCATTTTGATGTACATACAAATACATTATGTCATTAAATGATATTAATCTATTAAATTCAACGTTGCCCTAATGCAACATTTAATATAATATGTTCGTTAATTATTACACAATACAATTTTCTACTGTAAATTACTCAACAAACTTGCTTCAACCTTCTTCAATCATTTCAGAATATTTATTATGTAGATAAGTCCTTACATAACTTATTATTGATAATTTTCAAAATGTTGCATTTACACAAACATTGGTTTAGTGAGTATATGGTGCAAACATGATAGAAGAAATGCAATTGCAATGTAATTGTTGACTAATAGACATGATAACTACTGTTTTATATTTTCATTTCTGATATATTTATATCATCTTAGATATAGTGTCTTATCCTGCATTGTTCCATCATTGATAAACAATGTTTCAAGGTGTAATTATTTATCTTCAATAAAAGTTCTGCTTATTTTGGGGAATGATAGAAGAAAATAAAGGCTTTATCAACTGCCAGATTTTTAAGGTTAAAGATGTTGAACTTATTTCTGAAAATACGATTGATGCTGTGCACATTTCTCTAATGTTAAGGAGATTTGGTTAGAGATAAGGAAAATATGAAAGATCTTCGGGAGGAAAAATTGAGTGACTGTGCAATTGTCAACTCGTGGAAAATATATATTGCGAATGAAGAAAAGATGTCACAACTATAAATTCGCTCATACTTAGCCATAACAGCCATGACATCAGAAACACTGGTAAAGGAAGTGAATGCAATAAATAGCCGATAAATACATGGAGGAACTCAAAAATCCCATTTTGGTCGACCTACAAACACTTCCCTACATAGAGAAGTATGTTACGATGATGTAAGGATCTGACAGAGGTGGCTCGGACTCAAGTTCTCACTTCAGGGCCTTTGACTGTAAGGTCCTAGTGTTAGAGTCCTGACAGTGGCAAGGATTTTCGACAGTGGCTATATAGCTACTAGATGAGATCTGCTGCTGTCAGGAGAAAAATTTTGCAGCCGGCTGCTCTCATCAGTAATTTTACTTTAGTTCTCCAATCAAGACCAGGCAAATGCCGCAGCAGTACCTCTACAAATGGGCAATGAACTACTATCATTCTTTCCTCATCCTTGTTCTATCCTCACTCTTTGCATGCATTTACAACTTACTTTACACAACACTACCACACTTGCCGGGAGACTGGTCGGGAGCTTAGAGCTGGTCTGGCTGAGGTGGTGCCCCTCTAGTGGGAGATATTGCTTGGACCAAACCCACAAGCTGACAAATAGATTGGCATCAGATCTACACCATCCAACAAAGGAAAATCACACACAACTCCCGTGCTAAAAACGTCCACAACTTTACGAGCTAATAAACTTAACTGTTGATGCCCTCAGAATCGTCAATCAATCATGATGTGGAGTGTGTGATTATAAAGGAGAAACCAAACCTAGGAGGAGGTGCAGATTGTGTAAACGCACTACTATTTACAAATTTAAAAAAATGCAATGTTCATCTAAGACTGTTTTTAGTCGTCTTGTGTCAAGATGTATTGATATCCTGTTATCAATGAAGTTCCAAAGTTGCTTGTATACAAACATTTTTGGTGACATTTAAAGGATTTTTTTTATCCTTTTTTGAGTAAAAAAATATTATTTAATGCTTGGTCCTGAATGGGTTAAATGAATCGATGTTTAAGGCATCAACTTTAAGATAATACTGTTTCCAATGTGAATAATACTTGAAGCAGTATTTCTTAGGGTCAATCAGAAGTTTGTCCAGATCTATTAGGGTTGTTTCTCCGTCCACTCTCACAGAATTCGGTTTATGTTGCGCATTTGAGGATAGATAGTTTCTTAAAGGAAAGGTTGACTAGTATCATCTTTGGTATATTGAGTCCAAGTGTATAACTGATGTTGTAGTGATAGTAAATATTAACAACTGTAGATAATATAACACAATAGCAAATACATTACTCTTGGCTAAGAACTTAAGCCAACTCAATTCTCTGACATACTGAAATTATTATTGCTTTGTTGTTGAACACGGCGATTCAACTCTGATACTATGCTTCATTGTATATGACCCTATAGAGAACAAGCTACTCGCAGTTAATCAGGACCACCTCCTCTCCCAAGCCATCCAACTAATCACTTTTTCATATTAGTGGAAGGTCTTTTCTTAGTTTATCTCCTTACTTTCCTTATTTTAAGAGAGCCGCCACTTTCAAAAATTGTAAGAAATACAAGTCATTCTGATATTTTCAGTGAATTAAACTGAAAACTTAGAGACTTTCTAAACATTTGGTGTGACTTGTGCCTCCATTCTCTCTTAGCTTCATCCTTCAGATATTATATTGCATTAATTTGTTATATGCACATGTAGCGTCGCTTCCCGTTTCGGTCTCTTGGGGCACTATTTATAATTGGTATCTTCTCATTGCCTGACTCTCTGTACTGTTTTCAGCTTGTTTCATTTGCCGTTCTCATCGTAATGAATCCTTGGGCGGTGTGTTCGCGTCATGTGTGACGGGGTTGGGCGTGTGTGGTACGTGCTTGTTTGAGCGTTGCGCATCCGCATGTGTGCTGTGGCCTTGCACGTGTGTAAGCGCCGCACTCACCGATGTGTGGCTGTTATGGCCGCGGCCCACACGATTCTGGCGGGCATCACCCGTTCGTTTTTCTTCGCTGTACCTGTGGTGGCGTTGTTTTTGTGTAAAAACGGCGGCGGCGCGTACACGTGTGTTGGTAAGCTGTTGGCGAAATACGTTGTTGTGTAAATGTCGTGCCATTACGTGTGGGGTGTGTAAGCGTTGGCACACGTGTGGTGTGTGTGTGATAAAGCTGCTGTCGACACACGTTGGGCGTGCTCGTGTTAAGCGTTTTGTCACGGGCTTGGTAGGGCTGTTGGGTGTCTCTGCCTTGGCATGGTAAACAGTCATTCTCGCACCACAGTGTTAAGATGTGTGTGTGGTACAGCGTCGTCCACACGTTGATACGTTAAGCGCTAGGAGCTGATAGGTGTTCTATAAGTCCGACCAAAGCGGTGGCCACACGTGTGTGTGTGTGTGTGTATCTCAGCCGTGCACACCCGTGTGGTGTGTGTTGTAAGGCGTGCAACACGTAGCGTGTGGTTGTGTGGTGAGTGTGGTTGTAATGTGGGCGTTGAAGCACAAGCTAAGTCTGTGTATAATGGTGGGCGATTGTGTCTAGTGAATGGTAGGGTGTAGTGGATAGTAAGAAAGAGGAATGAGGACAAGGTAATGATAGAGAGTTCATGGCCACCATCTGTGAGAGGTACTGTGGCGGGCTGAATTGTGCTTGGTGCTTGTTGATTTGGGTGTAGAGAACTAATCGTTGGTGTAAAATTACTGACGAGAAGAGCCGGCTGAAGAAATTTTTTCTCTGGGACAGCAGAAGATCTCTTATTAGTAGCTATATAGCACTGGTCGAAAATCTTTGCAGCTAAGTCAGACTTAACACTAGGACCATTACAAGGTCAAAGGCCCCTGAGTCGAGACTTGAGTCCGGGCACTCTGTAGGATCCTTACCATCATCGTAACGTACTTTCTATGTAGGGAGTGTTTGTGGGGTCGATGTGTGTGCGTGAGTAAATGGTGATTATTTGTGGAGTTCTCCCAGAGTAGATGCATAATCGGTGGTTGTGTATAGTTGTGTTAAATTGGCCGTTGTTCACAACCTTGTGTGTGTGTGTGTGTGTGTGTAAGAGTGAACACGTGTGTGTGTGTGTGTGTGTGTAAGCGTGCACACGTGTGTGTGTGTGTGTGTTGTGTAAGCGTGCACACGTGTCTGATGCTTACACACACACACACGTGTGCACGCTTACACACACACACACACGTGTGCACGCTTACACACACACGTATGCACGCTTACACACACACGTATGCACGCTTACACACACGTGTGCGCGCTTACACACGTGTGCGCGCTTACACACACGTGTGCGCGCTTACACACGTGCCCACACACACATGCATGCGCACGCTCACACACGTGCCCACACGCACGCACATACGCACACACCTATCATTACATTAGAAGAAATGAAACTGAAAGGTAGCAAGCAGCTGGGTACCATATTAGTGGCCAAGCTACATTGTTATACAATTTCTATAATATCTGAAGAATTGAAGCTGAGGCATGGGGCAAGTCACATAAATCTTTGGTAAGTCTCTAATTTTCATTTCATCTACTGAAAATTCAGTGTACTGTATTCTTACAATTTTCTGAAAGTGGTTTCTTAAAAAGGGATAAGGATAAACTAAGAAAACTACTATTGAAGGGGTTAGTTGGTGGTTGGGGAGAGGGGTGGTCTGTTAACTGGAGGTTTGATTTACATACAATATTTGGGTGTCCTTTCCAACAAAAATCAGTTGTTGAGATGGGTGGTTTCTCAGAAGGGTTTCATTGTATATTATCTACAGTTGTAAATTACTACAACCATAACACTTGCTCCAAGATCTTAAGCACTATTTTAATATAACCATCTTAAACGGCTTTCTGACAACTTCTTGATTGACCCTAAGAAATACTGCTTCAAGTATTATACATTGGAAACAGTTTATTATCTTAAATAGTTGATGCCTTAAACATCGATTCATTTAACCCATTCAGGACCAAGCATTGAAATAATATTTTTTTACTCAAAAAAGGATAAAAAAAATCCTTTAAATGTACAACAAAATGTTGTGTATATGCAACTTTGGAACCTTATGGTATATCAATACATCTTGACACAAGACGACTAAAAACAGTCTTAGATGAACATTGCATTTTTTAAATTTGTAAATAGTAGTGCGTTTACACAATCTGCACCTCCTCCTAGGTTTGGTTTCTCCCTTTATAATCACACACTCCACATCATGATTGATTGACGATTCTGAGGGCATCAACAGTTAAGTTTATTAGCTCGTAAATGTTGTGGACGTTTTTTAGCACGGGAGTTGGTGGTGATTTTCCTTTGTTGGATGGTGAGATCTGATGCCAATCTATTTGTCAGCTTGTGGGTTTGGTCCAAGCAGATATCTCCCACTAGAGGGGCACCACCTCAGCCAGGACCAGCTCTAAGCTCCCGACCAGTCTCCCGGCAAGTGTGGTAGTGTTGTGTAAGTAAGTTGTAAATGCATGCAAAGAGGTGAGGATAGAACAAGGATGAGGAAAGAATGATAGTAGTTCATGGCCCATTTGTAGAGGTACTGCTGCGGCATTTGCCTGGTCTTGATTGGAGAACTAAAGTAAAATTACTGATGAGAGCAGCCGGCTGCAAGAATTTTTCTCCTGACAGCAGCAGATCTCTATCTAGTAGCTATATAGCCACTGTCGAAAATCCTTGCCACTGTCAGGACTCTAACACTAGGACCTTACAGTCAAAGGCCCTGAAGTGAGAACTTGAGTCCGAGCCACCTCTGTCAGGATCCTTACATCATCGTAACATACTTCTCTATGTAGGGAAGTGTTTGTAGGTCGACCAAAATGGGATTTTTGAGTTCCTCCATGTATTTATCGGCTATTTATTGCATTCACTTCCTTTACCAGTGTTCTGATGTCATGGCTGTTATGGCTAAGTATGAGCGAATTTATAGTTGTGACATCTTTTCTTCATTCGCAATATATATTTTCCACGAGTTGACAATTGCACAGTCACTCAATTTTTCCTCCCAAAGATCATTCATATTTTCCTTATCTCTAACCAATATCTCCTTAACATTAGGAGAAATGTGCACAGCATCAATCGTATTTGCAGAAATAAGTTCAACATCTTTAACCTTAAAAATCTGGCAGTTGATAGAAGCCTTTATTTTCTTCTATCATTCCCCAAAATAAGCAGAACTTTTATTGAAGATAAATAATTACACCTGAAACATTGTTTATCAATGATGGAACAATGCAGGATAAGACACTATATCTAAGATGATATAAATATATCAGAAATGAAAATATAAAACAGTAGTTACATGTCTATTAGTCAACAATTACATTGCAATTGCATTTCTTCTATCATGTTTGCACCATATACTCACTAAACCCAATGTTGTGTAAATGCAACATTATTGAAAATTATCAATAATAAGTTATGTAAGGACTTATCTACATAATAAATATTCTGAAATGATTGAAGAAGGTTGAAGCAAGTTTGTTGAGTAATTTACAGTAGAAAATTGTATTGTGTAATAATTAACGAACATATTATATTAAATGTTGCATTAGGGCAACGTTGGAATTTAATAGATTAATATCATTTAATGAACATAATGTATTTGTATGTACATCAAAATGACACCCCCCACTTTCACACACACCTGCCCCTCCCCCCCATGCATGTGCCTCACACTCCTGCACACAACACAACACACACGCACACACACAACACAACAACATGCGCACACACAACACAACACACACGCGCACACACAACACAACACACACGCGCACAACACAACACAACACACAGGCGCACACACAACACAAACACACCGCGCACACACAACACAACACACACGCGCACACACAACACAACACACACGCGCACACACAACACAACACACAAACAACACACACGCGCACACACAACACAACACACAACACGCACACACATCACAACACACACACACACACACACAACACAAACACACACGCACACACACAACAAAACACACACGCGCACACACAACACAACACACCCGCGCACACAAAACACAACACACACGCGCACACACAACACAACACACACGCGCACACACAAACACACAACCACACGCGCACACACACGCACACACAACACAACACACACACGCCACACACACACACACACAAAACACACACGCGCACACACACCACACAACACACATTGACACGTCCCCTCTCCTCAAAATTAATTTTCCTCTCCCTTTCTTAAGAACTTCAACCTAAAGAGGAAATGCTGTTCCATGTTTTTCTAATGCATTCTTAGTTTTGTTTCCCTTTCGTCCATAAAATAATCATACATATCTATTTTTGCTATCGTTGTGATATTAATTAAATGTGTTAAAGGAGAGCAGAATCACCTGTGGGTATGTGATTGGTGCTAACTTCTTATCCTTCAGTTTCTCAATTGTTTCCTTATCTTCTCGCAAATCAAGTTTAGTTCCAACGAGGATGATAGGTGTGCTGGGGCAATGATGTCGGACTTCTGGGTACCACTGAAACATAAACAAGCTTTTAATAATTTTTGATTTTCCATAATGCAGATTATAAGATAATGTATCTGCAATGCATTAAACAAAATTAATGAAAGAGCAGTTGCATGAAACGTATGGTGTGGCTGCATTGATGGTCAATTTCTTTAGTATCTCACAAAAAGGAGAGGAAAGATGGGTATGTTATATACCAGGATATATACCAGGAAATCAATTGCTGGATTTATATCAAAATATTTCAAAAATAAATGAGTGTTATATAAAAATGTTATTTGTTAACATGTAATAATATCTCCACTATAATTCTTTCTTCCACCATACCTTCATTATACTGATCAAATCAATTAATCTGTAATTTTTTGGACTTTTTTTTATAGTCATTATAATGTTGCTTAACATACATTACAATAGTAGTCCCTGAGAGACTTGGAATCCTACTTCTGTTCTTTGATTTCCTATCTTATTGGGATGGTACGTGATAAGGTCACAATATAACATTTAAGGAAGACAGAGCTTCATCTGTTCTAGGAGCTGATTCAACATATAATTCATTAAAAAATCTGTGCAAAATCAATAATTGTGAGTTAAACATAGTCCAGTATTTTAATAATTCCCGTCTCATTCTTTTGTCAGTATATCTCTAGTTCCTCATTAAACTTCCCGGCAAAGTATTGCAAACTTTTCTGCATGTTGTTTCTTACATTTCATTACATTTCTACCAAACTTTGGTACAGAATTCAAAGCAGTTTGCTCATTAATATAATGAACTTTGTTTCTGCTTTTCTTTGTGATCACTTTATTTAGTTTTCTAATACTTGCATAATTGTTAAAATTAGTGTTCATAATTCTATCAGGGTTATTATGTTTGTCACTGTTTGAAGTGCCTGCTCTTCCTTTCTGCTTCTTTCTCTGCGATTGCTTATTTGTTCCGTAATAAATTCATAGCATCTTATGATTAATTTCAGCATTATTAAATAAGATCTATTTCTCTTAAACTTGTACGTCTGTTCCTAATTCTTGACCCTAATTATCAGTTTTGCACAGCTCTTTATAGGTTTGTGAATATGATTTTAATTGATGAATCAACAAAATCATTAATTAATCGATTAATTCTAATTAATTGATCAACTCAATAGTACTGTAATCTGGATAATCGGCGAGAGAGATTTGATTTTTATTTGCTTCCACATCAATTTGTATTGTAATTAATAAGTGATCACTTGAACCAATGCTAGATCTACAATGCCACTATGACAATATGGCCAACACACAGTAAGTGAAAAGATAAATATTTTGTGAAAAGAAAGTTTTAATATTTTTCTTAGGCTGAAGTGTGTAGATATTTGGTTTTAAACCAGAAAAATTGTTTAGCTTTCTAAAGATATTCACAAATAAGCTTGGCGTAAATGTACACTTTCATGCAATAATGCATTTTAAACTAGTGTTGCTACATATGACACAGACTTTCCCGTATTAGTTTTCAATTCTCTTTGGTCTCGGCTAGCTATAAACTTGCCATATACTCTTACCAGCTGCCATCTATCGCAGCCTCGAGTACATTTTTTTGACATTTTCTTCATTTTTTGGTTTCCTAATAATAGAACGGAAATATTATTTTATGAACATTAAAGAAAAATAATACCTCATCTCAAAATGCTACCTTCTTTTAAGAAAATGTCACTTAAGTGCTACTGTAAATTTGAAATTTGAAGCTCTTTTTCAGAGAACATTGAGTTTTTGACAAACTTCCATTTGAAGTTATTTTAAGTACTATACTCACAAATAAAATGGTGTTTACAAATTGCTGGACATGTGCATATTAACAGCGTAATAGATTTTTCAAACAAATGACTTTGAGTAATTTTGAAGAAACAAAAAATACCCTGAAATTAACTTCACGTCATACTAAAGGGTGCAATTAACACTATATGTTCAAAAAGTTTGAAGAAAAAATTTGGAGCTGTTTTTGAGAAAATGGCGTTTGAGCGTTTGTGATAATGCAAAATTTGGAGCTAATTGTCAAAGAAAATGGCTGAGTTTTTGAAAAACTTTATATGCCATTATTTAAGAACATATACTCATAAATACAATAATATGAACTAATTGTGGTTAATATAAATATTAACAAAGGGAGAGAAGTAAAAAAAAATATTGTTTTTTTTGCAATTTGTGAAAAAACAAAATAAAGCAATATGGCATGTATGTCATCTTCTAGAGTACATTTATCACTATCCCTACCAAAAGTTTAAAGACAAAATTTGGAGCCATTTGGAGAATATCTAGTTTTTGGACTGCTTTAAAATTCCACATATTGCTCTCAATATTGCATGAAAACCACTAGAATTTTCAAAACAATGTACCTGACATTAATGAAAGAACTCACTATGGATAATTATTTTATTTGAAGAAAAAATCTATTTTCAATTTTGTAGTTGAAAGTAGTTGTAAGAAGACACCACAAAAAGTTCAAACTTTTGCAATTTTCAAAAATGTAGACTGAAAATCGGACCTATATCACCTTTATAAATGTATTTTTCTCTATTCTTAGAAGAAGTTTAAAGAAAAAAATTAGAACAGTTTTTGAGAAAATTTTGAAAATGACAAGGGGACTTCATGTAGTCATGTAGCCATATGCAGCAGCACCAGTTTCTTTCTATTTTTCTACAGAAGCTTTTTTATTTTATTTTATTCATTGAAGTATATGTTTGATTTCAAATACATTGAGAAGGTGTGCATCTCTTTTCAGCCATACAAAAAAAATTATTACTATTTCATACTATAAACAGATGTAAAACATTCAATTCCCACCTTCGCTCTCACGTTCTCGAAAGATGCAGGATTTACTAGAGAGAAACAAATAAGGAAGACATCCTGAAAAAGACAATACAAAACAGTGTTAAAGTTTTGCACTTTTGTAGGAGAAAAAACATTTACTTAATTCATATTTATATTTATAATACATTTATATGAATGAATGTGTATTCTTACTGTCTGAGGATAGGAGAGGGGCCGGAGTCTGTCATAATCTTCCTGACCAGCAGTATCCCATAATCCGAGGTTGATGGGCTTTCCATCTACCATTACATTAGCAGAATAATTATCAAATCTATAAAAAATTAAAACAATTAATGGTATACAAAATTATACCAATAATAACAATACTTAATAATATTAACAATATATAATAATAATAATAGTAATAATAATAATCATCATCATCATCATAAATAATAATGATAAACAAGAAGCAGATCATGTCCCCATTTATGTCTAGTTAAAAAGAATGAAATCATCATTGGAAGTAGTGGAACTTGCTGCCAAGATAGGGGTCAATAAAAATGGGTCTCCAAATTCCTCAGAATGAATAATGCCAAAATTCAGAAACTAGTGAAGGCAATTTATCATTTCATCTCAATTGTCAAATTTTATTTTAGCAAAGTCCAAAATCATGAAAAGGCAAAGTACAACCTGTAGTTGATTTCTACAGATCTCTGGCAGATCTGTAATACTCTGTCCTGAACACATGCTCCAGATGGTAAAAATATTCATCATAACCTGACCTAAGTTGGTATATGTACAATTGTGTATGAACAATAATTCATACTGATAGTACAATCAGCAAAACAAATCAGATTTTTTTATTCATAATTGGAGGAAAAATGCTAGCCACTTAAGAGCATTGCTCTGCCATGCAATTAGAGGCCGTAACAAAGGAGGTAGAGAAACATCTAGAATACACAAGTGTGGCAATAAAAATCAGCCAGATTTGGGTGCAGATTGCACTGAAAGTTATCAGAGCTCTGGAAAATGTTCTGCAAAAATTATGTAACAACTCGCCCAAACGTAAATGTTATTCAAAAGTAAGGCAATACTATATTGGCAGCAAACACATTTTGCACAAAGGGCTGTACCCACTGGATCTGCTTTTCAGAAAATGTTACAAACTGGAGTAGATTTAACATCATCTTCAGAACTGAATTTGGGGAATGATGATGACGACGATTAAAATAAATAAATAAAAACATTTTTAAAAGTTAATTATACAGGAAAAAGAAAGAATATGCCAAAGCAAAAAAAAAAAGTACTAGCTTCTGATGGCATAAGTGTTCAAAACTTTCATATCATTCTGGAATTTAATGAGATAAATACACATCATCTTTAATTCAAAGATTTTAAACTTTTCAGAAACAATAGCAACAGTCTCTCATGTCACTTTATTACACAAATGCTAATTGGACAACTGGAAATAACTCATTACAACAAGTGGAGTTTCATTTCTACATTTTGGTTCCTAATTGCGTATTAGCAAATTTACAATGACAAATTTTGTGTACAATGTCCAAAGTTACTTACACAGTTGGGATGTATTCTCCTGGAAAAGCATTTGTTGTGTAGCTGATCAACAAACATGTTTTACCAACCGCTCTGGAATCAAAGAGAGAAAATTAGATGAAATTTATTCTGCTTTGTGGACACAACATCACTTAATTACCTCATACATTAAAGTTAGAGCTGTTAGAAGAATTACGCTAGAGCTGTAATGCTATGTTGTACAAAGACTTTATTAAACAATTCAAATACTTTAATACTAATGGTATGTTCAGAATCTATTAGAATTTTATGCACTATCATTTTACTCTTACTGGGAAGTAAAATCTACTTCAACAAGGGTTAAGATTATCTACGAAAATTAGATTAAAAATATCTTTGAAAATCTTGAGTAGGAAAATTGATTAATCTAATTTGAAATTCCATCTGAATGCCCAAAATCTCCAGGTCATTATAGAAAGAAAAATTCAATTGAGAGTGTAGGGAACTACACCACATTTTTAGTTAATTTTGAATCAATTAAAATAATTAACGCTGGCTACATCTTCAAAGGAAGTGGTCATTCTCAGACCAGACTTTCACATGGGATTCATTCATCGCTTCGGGCCTGATTCACGTTTCCTTCACTGACTCACCGTGAGTCATTACGTATCTAGGCGCTACAATCCCTGTAACCTTGGTGTGCACAGACGCGCACTGAATTGCTGGACTAGGTTCCGAGATCATATGTTACGGGGTGGCGATGAAATGTGAAGTAAGCCAAGGTACGTGATGGACAGGAGGGAGGAGGTGGCAAGGGCGGGCGGCGGCGAGGACTGTGGCGGGCGTGGATGTAGAATCAAATGTTCTGAATTTCAGAGGATATGTAGCGATCAATCTATTAGACTATGTATTCATTAGTTAAAATTACGTGACTCGCGATAAACAGTAAAATGTTAATCAGAGGTTAATAGGATCTATACAAGAGTAATTTTCTCGCAAAAACTTCACTGTCGTGGCATTTCACGTACGCAAGGCAAATAATTATCTCGAATTTATTTGAAGTAAACTATGAACGGCTATATAACAAAGTTTGAGTACTTGATATACACTGCGTAGGAGAGAATATTAATCCTCTAAACAACCAAAATCTTCATGATAACTTATTGTCCTTCTCGGTTGATCACATACACGTTATTCTTTTAAATACTGTGTGTTTCAGCAACGTCCAACGATAAACATAAAATCCCTCCAACGAAACATCGTCATTTTTACTACAAACATGTGACCCACTTCGCCTCTGTAGCCACTGGTCAAGTGTGTGGCTAAAACTGCCACTTCTTTCTTCGCGCTGCCCACAAGTTAGCATAGTTCTGCCACTTGGGTAGTTGGCGACGATAGCCGCAAGCGGCGAAGCCGAGAGTACTCAAGACCGCGTCATCAGTAAAATGTGAATCACGACGCGCGCGAGTGTTCCTTGGATCCTTCCTACTCTTTCACAGGTACGGAAGTCCGGGACGGGCATTATTAATGTATTGTAGCTGTACCGAGGGAGGGCAAGGAGTGTTAAGTACCCCAAAATGTTTGATGAGAATGTTGGATCAAAAGCGGACAAATAAAATGACTGATAAATGTTTAACAGGTTAGGAGAGACCATGGCTTACGGCGGCTCCACACATGCGGTATTTGGCGAACCCCGAATAGTGTGGATGGGTTGCTTGCTATTCGCCGAGCGCCGAACATTCGGTATTCGCCCTACCCACCGCGTGTCGGTCTTTAGGTCACATCAAAGGGAGTGCACACTCAGCTGTTCGGGATTGGGCGTGCAGTAGCTCGTTACTCGGCGAATGCCGAATGTGTGGAGCCGCCTTCATGCTATGAGCCTTATGGGGTAACGAAATATCCCACCCTCATCAGCAACATGCAGATTTCTTACATCGAATTTGTGATCTTCATTGAAAGGCTGAGAGGTTTATTGAAAGGGAGGAGGATGCTTCCACAACGAACCATCAAAGAAATGTCTCTTCGCACGAAAGAGTCGAGAGGACCTGATGACGTAAATGGCGTCATGTTTACATTTCCTCGGGAGCATAAAAGAAGAGAGCTAAATTCAAAGCTCAATTTTTATATATATTTTTTCTGAAAAAATCACGACTTTCTGTGAGAAGGATCACATAATATAACATCCGTTCATTCAGCGCGGTTCCGAGTCATTCGTTCCGTCCCACTTCTGCCTCAGGTCCCTGACCTCTGTGACGCAGGCGAACACTCATCGCGGGGCGCCCTGGCGCGCGCGCGCACGCACGCACGCACACCAACACGTCCTCGCGCAACTGAACGCGACGCCCTGCACTCGCGCGCGCCAAACGGCGTACGATATGTCTCGGGAGCGTCGCGTCGCGTCGCTTTCGCGCTACCGATTTCTATACAGCTCGCGCTCGCGCCGGCTGCGACTGTGTGGTCGTCTTCTCGACATTGGCTAGCAATCAAGGCGACGTTCGGACGGGGAAGAGAAACACTCTCCCGTGGCCTAGCAACACCGATCCCCTGTCAGAGACTGACCTTCCTTAATAAGGCTTCGGTAATGTCGGTTCACGGAGGTGGACTTATTAGAGTTTCCGAGCGCACCAACTATGAAGATCGTAATTCCCGAAAACGTAGTAAGTTTTTATTGTGGGAGGCGGCAGTGATCTTCGCCGCCGAATGACGAGACTCGGCGCCGACCTTCACCTCCAATAGTGGGGTTTTCCCTAACCAGATATCTCCCACCAACGGAGCACAACCCCAGTTGGAACAAGCGCTGGACTCCCGGCACGTGTAGTAGTGTAGCGCATGTAAGTGTGTATAAACAAGGGGTGAGGATACGACAAGGAAAAAAAAAAAGATCGCGCACGGTCCGTAGCCCGTTTGATTGGGTACTGCTTCGGCTTTCGTCTGGTGATGGTCGGACAAATGACGGAAAAATGTCGATCAGAGCGGCCAACCGCTAGAATTCTCACCCAGACAGCGGCTTAACTTGACCTTGTTGTCTATCTAGTACCAAAAATCCTGTCACCGAAGAACCATCGGACCTCCGGGTACTGCAGTGACCTCAGTTGATGCTCTGAGCTACTTAAGTCGATTAGGAGTTAGAGTTGCGCCCAAATACACGGAATTAAAAGTTGCGGAAAAGAATCTCGTGAAAGACATCGATATCTTTACGGTCTACACTGTACGCCGGCTTGATTATTGTGATTGCAGACCAAAATTCATCAAAACTGTACTCTGCCTAAACTGTGGCTGTCACATCGAGGTTAATAGTGACGTTCCACGTTTTAAAGCTCAACTCACAGTTCGCTGTTCAAAATAAAATACAGACTACAGCCTGTCAACAAAATGACAAATTCAAGAGACGATTCGTACTCGTACATGACCGCTCGTCACATTACACGTGGGTCGAGAAAAAAATTGCTTGCTGAAGTCAAACATTCTCCTATCGGAGTAATGTCCATAGGAAATACTTCATTCTGAAGATATGTTATCACAAGAATAATTAATGCATAACATGTCGGAGCGTTGCCCGCATGAAATCCGATAGTATAATTGCGGCACGGAATCCGTGCTAGTTATGCAAGAAATGATGCACAGAGCGGTAAAGTATTATCACTACCGGGGATCACCACCAGTGCTACGCGATGTCGCAAGTGCTTTCCTTTCTCCGCACACATACTAATTAAAAGCGAAAACGTGGCAAATGGCAGCATCTCTTACAAACAGTAAGTGAAATATTTTCCAATTTACATAATTCCAGACCGACTACGAACTAATTGCGATTTCTACGACACGTGCTAGAATGAAAACCGCTTCTGGGTTCTTGAACATCAAATTGCGAAGTCGCGCCTGTATAATCAGGAAAACTGACACAGCTTAGAAGCTACTGAAAAAATACATTTTAACAGCAGCGAACCTCATGATATTGAGACGCACCTACTAAATCCCCAGTGATCGATCTCCAGCACCTCTCGTGAGTGACATAACGGGAGGCGACGTTAGGAAGGGAAGGCATATACAATAAGAAATGAATAGAACGTTCAGACAGGAAAGCAAATACACGAAAGGCGGCGACAGGAAGGTAATGAACAGAAGCCAGAGGCAGGAAGACAAGAGAAGGCGGCGACAGGAAGGTAATGAACAGACGACACAGGCAGGAAGACAAGAGAAGGCGGCAACACGAAAGCGCATGAACTGGGAGCGGAGACCAGGGGTCTAGCAGACAGCAGCAGTATGCCACAGTATACACGGGCGCCGAATTGGGAGGGGGCTCTAAATTTAATATCCGTCCTTTAGAAATCCAAAACATCCCCTCCCCTTATGCCTACGTGAAAACTTTTTAGCGGTGACACGAAAGTAAGGAAACCGGAAGTGGTTACAGAAGAAAAGTGAAGCGGAGGCGGCTACGTGAGGCAAAGCACTGGAAGCGGGGAAAGGCAAATAATATGGAGGCGTGTGCGCCACCGGAGCCGCGTTCCGCCAGGGGCCTGGCGACCGTCGACGGCGCCGCCGCCGGGCACGCGCCTGGGCCCGAGCGGCACTGCGCGCCGTCGAGTTCCCGTCGCGCAGTGACGTCACGGGGCAGGCGGCCGCGCCCAAGGTCGCTTCCACAGCTCCACATCCGTCGGCGGATGGGATTTAAGCTTGGAGCATTTAAATGGCCACCATCATGCGAAGTTGAGGAACGATTGAAAAAGGATTATGACAGCGTTAGGTATGTCAATAATAAAGCCTATCTTCTAATACATACTAAAAACAATTAAGGTGAGAACTTCCAAAACGAACGCGAAATAAGGGTTTTGAGCAGTTTCCTTCAATGACTGCTATTAAACATCTCCAATGAATTTTCGCTCGATCAGAAATGTCAAATTGAAATCATTACACGTAACAAAGTCCAGTCAAAAGTTTATACGGATTTTCCTCATTTGATTAATCTGTAAGTTTCGAATATCGGTATTTAATTTACAAACTTTATTAGGCACGGTTTCAAAGAGAGATCCATTTAACTTTTTGACAACGAGAAAATATTGCCAATAAGGTGTCAATAAGCAAGTAAAGATTTCGTTCTCATGAATATTGTAGAAATA